GTGTGTGTGTGTGTGTGTGTGCGTGTGTGCGCGTGTGTGTGTCTCTGTGCGTGCAGTTATGGCAGAGCAGTTCTGAGTGTGTCCTCAGATGCCTCTGATGTGTCTAAGCAGTAGCTGCTGCAGTCTGTGTTGCCATATTTTGTCCTCATACTGAGGTCAGGCAACCCCCAGCAGCAGCAGCTCTTACGTAATGCAGAATTTAGCTTTCAATACACAAAGACTCCCACTTATTATTCTCGGGCCCTTACTGGGCAAAGACACCCTCTTGTTTCATACTAGCTAAGGGATTTTGCTTTTGGAGGCTTGTTTTTTAGCAGCATTGATTGCTTACTGGACCTACAGCTGGATGGTGAAAACAGTGCAGCAGTGCTGATGTGACCACCCTTAGAGATCAAGTGGTCCAAGACAACTGAGCTGAACTTCCAGCTGAAAGAACCGGAGTTAATCTGTTAGCATCAAGCACATAACAAGCAAATCGTTTTTCTTTATGGAATCAGTGCTGGTTCAAACACTTTCAGCACAAAGGCTGAAGTGGGAGTTCATTTCAAAGGTCGCCTCTTCTGGAGCCTCTTTAGCACACGGCTAAAACAAATCCAAGCCTTAACATTAACGAGTATGTGGGTTAAACTGCTGTTTTCCCAAACCCAAACATTAGAGCTAACAGGTGCATTTCCATTTCAGTTCAGATAGCCAAACAACCCTGCTGTCTTTACATACAACTCATTGTTGCAGCCAGGTACAAAAGCGACCCCCTAAGACTTCCTCCTTAAATCCAGCTTCACAGAGTTACATATATGACAGTTTTTGAGTTAAATGATTAAATTAAACTCATACATTTACTGTTTTATGTCCACTTTAAAAAATAAGCCATACATGACAACTTAGGCGTTACAAATGTAAGACTGGAACTGGAGTGGAACTGGTTTCCCCTCCTTTTTAAATCAATCCAGCACCTCACCGAATATAAATTTCAGTGTGAGCCGCATCCAGATGCTATGTGAAAGATGAAATGACTACATCTGAACAGGCGTTTGCAGAATCTTATGGTTCAGGAAAAGCAGGTTTGCAGTTATGATCTTCCACTTTTACATGAAAACATTGCTGCTTTCAGATGTGTCACACATTTGATCCATTTCACTTCCTTATTGGTTTGTTTTTTTAATTTAACAGATGCAGACACATTTGTCTAGAGTTGAATGTTAACCAATGTTAGAAAGCCAAAAGCTAGCCTGTTACCATCAAATGGTAAATGGACTGGTTCTTACATAGCGCTTTTCTACTCATCTGAGCACTCAAAGCGCTTCACACAACTTGTGCATTCACCCATTCACACCCATTCGCACAAGCACATCTTTCTAAGTGCTTCATAGCTAACATTCACACACGTTCATACTCCGATGGATCCATCAGAGAGCAATTTGGGGTTAGTATCTGTGGTGGGACCTGTGATACCACAAGAAAAGTCTGCTAGCGCTAACACTTCTTTAAAAATAACACACAACAGAAGTTTTCAAAATCTGAGGTTCCCCAAAGTTTAAACTTTGCATTGCAAAGTTAGCAATGCTCAAACAAAATCAGCCAGCAGAGCTCAGTGTTGCCCTCTAGGGAGACGGTTAAAGGTCAAGCAGTCATGATGAGTGTTGACGCTGTAATGAGCGTCCTATTGCGCACTGACTCGCCTGCTAGGAGCTGTTCAACTTGGCGCACACACTTACCTGCACTCACTTGTGCTGCTTCACAGTCGGTCTTCGTCCCTCTTTCAGGCTGAGCAGTTCACCATCGGTACATTAAACACAACAGCACAAATCCAGCATGAAATTTTCCCCCGCGGACTGAGCTGAACTACTCAAAATTTGTCTAAGCTAAAAGACCTGAGGTGCAAAAACATTCACCAAGCCCAGATCCCATTGTTTCACACAAAAGTGAACACTTAAGTGCAAATTTCAGCCCCGTGGACGCTGTATCTGGTGTGATGCAGACAGTATGTGCAGACGACTTCAGAGTGGATTAAAAGACTAATATTGAAATGAAACTTTCTGCAGATATCTGTGAACGTGCCAAGATCGGTACAAGGAAATGAGGCATGAACGATCAGCATGTTGTAGGCAGAAGTAATTACATTGTAAGTCATTTTAAGTAGCACGCTCTTCATTTTAAATTAGCAGGTATTTTACGGGAAAGGAGACCAAAAATATAGTGTAAGTGGTTTAAAGTTTGCAGAAAAAGAATCAATATTTCCCATCTTCATTGTAAGTAGTTGGACAGCTGGCAGTATTATGGAGTGGCTTAACTTTGACTAACTTCCTGGTATTTTACTGGAAAGGATGTGCTGCTTTCCAAAGTTATGGTAGTTGAAAGAGGAGAACAGTCACATTCATATTGGTAACATAAAAGAACAATTGAATACTAGAACATCCAGCCGTCATGCACATCAGCATAATTGATGTTAAATAAAACAAAGATCCAAAAAGGCAAGTTTAACCCAGAGGCTTTGGGAACATGAGAGTCCTGTTAGGCTTCAGGATTCAGCGTCTTTACAACACATTCGTACTCCTGAAGCGTAACACGCTACGCCATGTGACAAATCGCTGGTATGTTACGCTTTCCGGTCAGCCACCAACACATTCGGAAACAGGAGGAAACATGAGAACCGTTTGGCCTAAATCTACACATGTACATTTATTTTCCTCTCATCATGAATCACTCTGGATAACTCTAACACCATTAAGAGTGTGGTGAAGCTCGGCAATGGTCTCGTGGGTCATTTAGCCTTCAGATAGTTCCAGCAAGTCTTTAGCAGGCAGTTAGAGTGTCTGCTGATGACGTGGAGACTTTTAAAAATGCATCTCTGACTGTGCTGCCACAGCTAGCATATGTCGCTAACTCCACGAGCCGCCAGCGCTGCATAAACGTAGAAAAATAAATGTTCCGTGGTGTGATTGGACTAGTGGGCGGTATTATGAACTGTTCCCAATGTACCTGTGCAATTTATGTAGAAGTAATTTGTTTCATTCTTTTCTTTTTTACAGTTTTTTTATGGGTGGGTGTAAGGTCGATGCTGGATTGTGGAGCGCTGTAACCCCACATGTAGTAACAGCTCTGACTGGAAGTGAAGCAAGGTCATACGAAGCGTGCAGCGACCACGGTTACAAAGGCTTCTGACTGATTGGTTCTGGCTGCTAGTACAACTTCTACTGTTGCCTTACAGATGTTTTCTTTGAGTGATGGGTGGCCAGCAGACAGTATGGTGTTTCTAATAATAGCACAGAAGCAGAGCGAATTGAAAATATTTGAAATATCTTCCTAATCTTCTTTATCGAGTGGTGGTTCGTGTACAGATTAGGGAGCAAGGTTCCATACTGTGCACTTCAGGCTCCGCTCCTGCTGGTTTCAGCACCTTGGACAGAACCATAGCAGTAGAAATATGTGCCTGATTGTATGTAGCCTGTGATCTCATTGGGGAGACAGAGGGACCGACCCAATCCAGCCTGAGCTCGAGCACCAGTGTTTTTGAGCGAGTGGTGACCCTGCCGACGGAGTGTTTTCTGCCTCCTGTCGAGACAGACGATGCGCACCCCGCCACGGCCCCGTGCACGTCTGATATATGAAAGCTTTTTTGACTTTGGGTGGCGTCCTGTCTGTTCGCCTCACTGTCACCCTCTGTGGACACAGCTAGGGGAGGGTTGCCAACGGTGTATCCCTCCTTCTCTCCGCAGCTACTCCCCTCCCTCCATTACTCCCCTTCCTCAGTCCCTTCCCGTTTCTTCTATTCCTTGCTCTGTTTGTCTGCTCTTTTACGCTCGCTCATCCTAGAAATCCTCTTTTCTGCTTTTCTTATCTCTTCTCACTGAAACGTCTGATCAATTCCTCTCTGCGTCCTCGCTGACGGCAGCCTGCCTTTCCCTCCTCGTCCTCATTCCGCAGACTCTTTCCGTTTTAACCTCTTGCACCCAAACAGTCAGTTGGAGGTCTGGGACTTGTTGGACAAGAGCTGAAGCATGATTACAGGGTTAGAGAGGAAAGGAGAGGGCTGTGCGAAGTCAGGCAGTGTGAGGGGAGGCGCTAGCTGGCGGGGCCTGGGACCTGAACTAGACAGACAGTAAAACGTCACCACACCAAAGCCAGACTCCCCGACTGTGATCGCGTGTGTGTGTCTGTGTGTTTGTGTCTCTGTGTGTGGTGATTTTGCGTGTGCATGTGTGTATGTGTGACTGGGGGTTCACAGTGTTAGTAGCTCACAGCCAGCTGAGGCTGCAGTGGAGACAGACAGAGGCACTGAGCAGCACATAGCAAACACCACTGATTGTTGGTTGTGTAGCACTGGGATATCTGCTTTTGGAGGAAATTTAGCAGGTGAGAGTACAGTTGTGTGTCTGTGTGCGTCTTTCTTTCGTGCAACTGTGTATATTTTGGCAATGCCTGTTGTATTTGTGTAATGTGTATGCCAGCATGTTTGTGTGATTTTGGTAGCCTTGTGTCATTAAAATGAAGACATCAGCATGATCACCGAGGCGAGTGAACTAACATCCAGTCATCTGTGTTGCGGCTGCAGGTAGTAAACTGACCTCGGGGGGACAGACGGCAGCGTCGCACCCGGAGCCGCAGGGGGAGGTGTGGCCACACTCGCTTGACCAGCAGCAGGCCTTGGCTTCAGACTTCTTATCAGGTACAGAGTTTAATGGCTCCACAGTATCGTCCTTTCATCTTAACTTGTTAACACTGATTCACGACATCGCTTGGACCTTCTGTGGTCACAGTGGGACATTTTCAGGAAATGATGTCGTTTTTGACCAGAAAAACTGGACTGGACCAGTGCTCGAGTCTGACTTTGTAGCTTCCAAACCAGTGACTGCCCCATATCCAAACCATCTCAAGGTTTTCTGTCTCAGAATTAGCTCTAGATAGACTTTGGGCATCACATATACACACAAAGCAAGTGTATCACTAACTGGAAGCATGATGTCCAGGGAGGATTTAAGAAAACTGACATTGAATATATGTCTAAATATTTATATATAAATTGTTGATTAAAATGTTTGCATCAGTCGTTCTCTGTGATTTCCAAAAAGCTTCTCACGCTGGCTGCTCCTTGCCTGGGCGCGTCTTAAAGGCGCTCGGGCCCAGAGAAGCAGCGCAGTTGGAGCTTCACGTTACTTTGCTTTGCATGGTGGAGCAGCCTCAGAGTGTAGCCACCACGTTTCCAAACCCATGCAGCTTATTCGCTAATGGTTTTTGTCTTTGTCCAGTGTAGATACAAATTATGTGCATTACATGGTAAAAACCCAAATTATTGTATAAATGTATCATTTTAAAGTAAAGATTGAGCGGCTCAGCCTCTTTGGGCCACTCCTCTGACTCCCACTCGTGTTTCTGTATAAAGTCACACCTTTTGAATCGTTAATGCCGTCACGCCCAGTGGCGCCTCCACTCAGTCGACTTCTCTTCTATATATTTGCCTGCGTCTCATCGCTCTCTCTCTTCTCTTCTCTTCACCTTTTCCATTGCTCCCTCCTTCCCTGCTGCCAGTCTCCGTGGCAACTTATTCTAATCCTCTGGGCTTTCAGACCAGCCCCGCACAAAAGATGGATGCTAACCTGATGGGAGCGTTTTCAGGTATCCTCCCAATATTTCCTTCTAACAGAATCACAGATGTGAGTGTTGCTGTAACAGCAGTGCTGAGATATTAAGTGTGCGTGCGTGCGTGCGTGCGTGCGTGCGTGCGTGCGTGCGTGCGTGCGTGTGTGTGTGTGTGTGTGAGATATGTAATTGAATGATGCTTATCATTACTCAGCAACACTGTCTGATGGGGTCTGTGTCACTACAGAGTCTCCTACTTACAAACACAGGGCTCGCTCATGCATGGAGAGCCTGCTGCACATGATGAAGTGCTGCGTTGTGTCTGCAACTTTGATATTGTCATATTTCAGAATATGAACACTGTAATTATCTATTGTGTATATTTGAAGTAAGGGCTTTGTATCCTGTGTGCGTATGTGGGTTATTGTGTTAACCTCAGAGCAGCCGAGTAGCACTGAAGTCATGAAGTTGAGCATCATGCGCTCCTGACCTCTCTGTGCAGACACGGGGCTTGTGCAGAGACTGTCAGTTAGCTCCTTTCTTCAGAGCCAGGTCCATTTTTATCTTTCCGTCACAGAAGACACATTTGAGATCAACATTTTCATTCTCATGACCATTTATTGTGCGGAGCTTTCTCCGGTCATGGACAGCCACTCCAGTGTTTACTCTGGTGTTGCTCCAGTTTAAGTCGTTCCTCCTTTTGCTTTCCAGGCTTCATCTGCATTTTGCACTACTCTGTGTGACTAATTATCATGTATGACAGTGCTATTATTAAATATGTGTTCTGGGCTAAAGTCACTGTCTTCACATCCTGTTGATGGCTTCTTAAAATTTTGGCGGTACAGTAGCTGCAGCATCATATCGTAAGTATCTGTATTTCTAGCCTTTCACAGCTGACGGCTGAGCGGGCGACACAATAACTCAAGCAGGAAGTCTCAAATTGATCCCATATTAAAATGGATGTGTTGGGATCTCAGTGATTTTCCTTGTGTTTGAGCCTTTCCTTCTTTGGCTTTGCTAACACGTTCTCACAGTGAGCGCTCTGTTTAGCTTCACATTAAACTCAAACACTCTTTGATATGATTTGGATTTCATAGTTGAATCGATTACTACCAAAGCAAAGTCCCTGAGGCAGCAACCAGCCTGAGCACTGACATTTCCAGCACCCTGCTGCAGTGTGTGTGTGTGTTAACTTACAGTTAACAAGTCCAACGTTTGGAGTCTTTGTTGGTCAGTGTTGGACACCACTGGTGAACTGACTTGTATTTGTACCTGTTTTGTTGGTGTATTTGATTTCAGCATTGTATGCTGAAAGAAAAACAAAAACATTTTGAGGGAACGGACTCAAGCACGTGACTTTCATTTATATATATATATTTCCATTATTATAATGTCAGCGCTGAAGCTCTGCCTGCCAGAACAATCGCTGTGCTCAGTTTCTGCAAACATACCTTAGCCTTCATCACTGTGGATGATTACAGCTCATTATTTCCTTCCTCATTAAAAATGCGACTTCCAACCAGGAACTTTGCCCCAGAATAGCCAATAGTTGTCCACGCTGATGAATTGCACTTGTGGATGTGACCCTTGTTGGTTGCATGCAGAGCTTTAGCCGTCACTGGCTTGGTATCTGCTGGTAGCTTGCAGAGTGACACACACACTCACAGTGTGAGCTATAAGGCTGAGTTATGCCTTTCACCATGCCAGCCTCTGCAGAGCCAGCTCTCATTGTTGTCTTAATGAGACCTGTCGTCTCTGGGCCACCAAAACACCCTGCAGGCTTGGACACACACACACACACACACACACACACACATTCTGACCCATACAAGTACAGCTGACACGTGCATCAGTTTGGGACTCATGCAGGTGAAGAGTCTCGTTCACTGTTGCGACCACGTTCATGACCTCATCTCTCACACATGCTGTGTATGTTCAGGCCCCTCCCCTCTACGAGCGTATTCAGAGCTGTAATGTTGACTGCATTCAGGTTGTATGTGGTGTTTTCTTTGACCTTCTTACTGTTTCTTCCTCTTCTCTTCACGTCACAGTGAGTAATGCTGTCGGTGCAAAGAGAAGGTTTACCTGTTTGTCTGCTTTCTTGTTCCTCAGGTTTCTCCCAGCCTGGAGGGATTGGGATGAACGTGGAGGTGGGAGCTGCACCCCTTCAAGCAGAAAAGCCTCCAAGTATTGCAGATCCTCAGATTCTCACACCTCCAGCAGGATCAGTCGCCCCTAAGGAGCACAGCCCCATGCTGCCCGAACCACAAGCTCCTCGCAGCCCTTTGGATGTATCAGCAGGTAAGACTCATGCATTGAACTCACACGCCACAGTGTTTTTCTTCAACGCCAGTTTTGGTTTTTTAATCTAAACTAAAGCACAAGGTAACTTTAGTTTCAACTTCTCCAAATAGCTTGTCTACGGATCAGCACCTTTGCATTTCCTGTGCATTTAAAATTCGCTCAAACTGTGTCGATTTTTCTTGTTTTCCCTTAAATTAAGTCAAAACTTGAAGTGAGAACAGATTAAGAGTATTGTTGCATGTGTGTTGCGGCTGAAACCGTGTATTTGATTGACTTTGAGTTTTAATTTTGAAGATGGAAAATGTTTTAAAGATCACGTGGTTTGGTTTGAATACTCATAAATGGCTTGTAGCAAAGGCAACCTTCGCACTCCCACCTGAAATAATTTTTGAAACACACATACTTGAATGATGTGGACAAAAACACAATTGGAAATGAACTGACCAAATCAGTGAACTATTGAACCTTTAGTGTCTAAGAGCATGTCCTCATAATGTAGGTGTGTGTGTATCTTCTTCCAATCCCTGCACCACAATAACTGCTCAGTGTGGAAGCCGTGTTTCCTGTTATGCTTGCTCGTCACTCGTGCTGTACATGTTGGTGTAGCTGCAGAAAGGAGGTCAGTGATCTCTGTGTTGCACAAAGACACACTCAGCTGTCTGTGTCCTTCACTGTCCACTCTTTATGACTTTGGACCGGCCGATCGCAGACTCTGCTGCTCTCCAGCCCAGTGTGCGTGCATCCTAGAGAAGCAGAGTCTTACTTGTTGTCTTGCTGTGGCTTGTGTCGCTTGACAGAGCTGTGCTAAAATGCACAAAAGCGTCACAGCAGCCGAGGCACCTGTAACTGCAGGTGGTCAGCTGTTAATCAGTCTGCAGACTCATGCACCCATAGACGCCCTTTTAGATCAGCTAACAGGGCTTGTTCTTCTCAGACCCCAAAATTGAAGGTTTGTGTATGTCAGGAAAAGCTACAGGAGTGAAAACAAATGTGATGTACTGTACACACAGAGCCTCCAGAAGTGGTTGGCTATGTTTAAGAATGTCTGTCATTCCTGAAACGTTTGTGTTCAGCCCCTTGAATTAAAGCTAGACGTCTGCAGTCAGATTGTTTTAAAGTTCACTGTGGTGAATCCAGACACAAAGCTACAAAAAATGTCATTGTCCAAAACTTTAACTGTAAATTCCCAAACAGTCTCAAATAGCAGGAGCAGGAAACAAACACTAAGCGGTGGTAAAAATCCTGAAGGATCAGCAAAATTCCTAGTAAGGAAAAGTCTTACGTTGGGCAGGAGAAGCATAATGCAGTGTCGTTTCTTTGCTGTCTCAGCTCCATGTAGATTTATAGGCTGAACCTTTAAATCTAGTTGAAGCCCAACGATGTGTGTCTGCAGTCTTCTGATACTGAGGCTTGATCTCAGAGTATCCAGCTGCACACAGACTGTCTTCAAACTACAGTTTCTTTCTCCAAACACTCACTCAGATTGTGTCAGTCACAGTGTAGTTAATGCAGACGAGTCACATAATAATAATATTAATAATAATAAAATATTCCTGAATAACATCAGTATTGTTTTCTTAATTGTCATTATTGACAAATGTTTTTGGATAATTGTAAAAAATAAATTCGAGTCAGAAACAAAACCATCAAACAGGCTCCTAAAGAGGAAGGAGGAGCCTGTTGATCGCGTGCCTCATCACATGAGGTGTGGAAAAGGGGCGTGGTCATTATCAGCAGAGGTTTCCAGTGAAAACATTGTGAAAACATTGTCTCACCCTATCATGTGACCTACTCAGATCACCATCGAAACTGGATTATAGATGGCAGGGAGCATTTTCTGCCCGGTGGTGTGGGGTCCTGATTACTCCAGGTTTGTGTTTCAGAGGGTGGTGGGAGTCAAAGAGGAGGTACTGGTCCATGTGTGGGGGGGCTTCAGGTAAACTTCAGTGCTGAGGTTTCTATTCACCTCAGTGTCCATCCATCTTCCTCCACTTATCCGGGTTGCGGGGGCAGCAACCCAAGCAGACCAGCACACAATGCACCCGACTCCTGTGGCGCCTCCTGTAGGTGTGGGCCTGCAGGAGGATTGACACTCGCCCTCGGGCACCCTCTCCGGTCCTGGCTCCAGGGCGGGGCCCCGGTAACCCTATCCCAGTAAGCTGAACTGGTCCCTTGGTGTTCTGCTCGTAGAGGTTTTCTCTTTGTCTCGTCCCTCACCCAGGACCAATTTGCCATGGGAGTTTAGACCAACAGTGCACCTCCCCTTGTCAGGGACGACTCTCACTAGGGCTTAAATACCTGGGCCTCTCCACCATTTGGTCTTAGAAGCGAAGAAGCTTCTCTTATTGGAGGTGAAAAGTCTTCAAGATAAAGTCCAGCCGCTTTTCTACAGCTGCCCATTGAAGTGTGTGTTTTATGTCTGCCTGTGAAGCACTCGGGAACACAGAGTGACTCAACTTTGCAGCAAACCCTAGCCCCCTCCCTCTTCAAGATCCAGACTGCACATGCTTGAACCTTTGTCTGACTGCCATGACACCAACTGACAGCCCACAGTGCAACAACAAACTGCACTGAGCAGATGTAACCATGTACAAATAATAATCTAATAATAATAATCATTCTGGCCCAGTAGACATTTGTACTCCAGATATATCCTGAGTCATCTTTAAAATACAAAATATCCAAAAAGGCTCAGAAACTGTATGTTAAATACTTTTGTAAGATAATACTTCTGACTTTGCAGCTGCCATTATTGACAAAATGAAGATATATTAGAAAGTACAGAAGAAACTGGGTATGACATCTTAGAGAGTTCTAGAAATCCTCAGAGTAACAGCTAAATGAAAGCCAGGATCTGCAACATGAAACTGCTGTGAGATAATGACGCATCAGTCCATTTGAAAGTTTTTTAGAGTCCCTTATTTGGATGGAGCGGTAGGGTGTCAGCTAAAATTAGCAAACCTTTCTGTTGATCTGCATCCATAAACTGTATGATGACCACTTTGAAAACAAAACAAACAAACGATAGAATAAAAAAAACATACACGAATACAGTGGAAGCCCAGATGTCCCAGTTTCCCGCTGGGATTTGAATCTGGCAGCATGAAATTTGTCTTAAAGCTCCATGTGGGCATGCAACGTGATCTGTGTCTACAGTGGTTTGCAAAAGTATTCGGCCCCTTGAACTTTCCCACATTTTGTCACATTACAGCCACAAACATGAATCAGCTTTATTGGAATTCCAGGTGAAAGACCAACACAAAGTGGTGCACACGTGAAAAGTGGAACGAAAATCATACATGATTCCAAACATGTTTTACAAATAAATAACTGCAAAGTGGGGTGTGCGTAATTATTCAGCCCCTGAGTCAATACTTTGTAGAACCAGCTTTTGCTGCAGTTCCAGCTGCCAGTCTTTCAGGGTCTGTCTCTACCAGCTTTGCACATCTACAGACTGAATCTTTGCCCATTCTTCTTTGCAAAACAGCTCCAGCTCAGTCAGATTAGAGGGACAGCGTTTGTGAACAGCAGTTTTCAGATCTTGCCACAGATTCTGGATTGGATTTAGATCTGGACTTTGACTGGATTTTCGTTCCACTTCTCACGTGTGCACCACTTTGCAGTTATTTATTGGTAAAACATGCTTGGAATCATGTATGATTTTCGTTCCACTTCTCACGTGTGCACCACTTTGTGTTGGTCTTTCACCTGGAATTCCAATAAAACTGATTCATGTTTGTGGCTGTAATGTGACAAAATGTGGGAAGTTCAAGGGAGCCCAATACTTTTGCATTCACTGTATTTCTTTTGTAAGTGGTAGGTTTCTTTTGAACAAGAACGTTTTCCAATGTGTGAAGCCAAACTTAAGAAGTGGTGCGTGCTATTTATTCGGGTTTGGAGGTACACATTTGTAAAATCTTGGGTGAGGATCGCAGTCACATTATATTTGTAAATCTTACTGCTTGTTGATTCATAACCCCTTTTGAAGCCAGTTTCACTTCATATTTTATACTCTGAGATTTCATTTCCCTTTTTATCAAATCAAATCAAATCACTTTTATTGTCACATCACATGTGCAGGTACA